AACACATTGGATGGTCCCTGAGACTCCATTAATGGTGTTTCATCGTGTAGATGATGAATTATATTGTTCCTTCTCGAGCGCGAAGATAGTTCGACATGAGTGTGAGAGTCGAACATTGAAATACGAAATACGATGATCAGATTTGGTGTCAAAATTGCAGGTTGGATTTCTTCTTCTCATCTTTCCCTCAGCTGTCCATTGGTTTTCCTCGGTCGGTTGTGGACTGATATCGAATAGCGCATCGAATAACGTGTTGTATCTTCACAGCAGACGAATAGGCGAATAGTACAGCCTCACGACGAGACGAATAATAGTATTTTAGCATATTTGTCGATTGCCATGCATGCTGATGTTTCAATGGCGACCATACATCTACTTTCCATTCCATACCTGCAAGTAAATATTGCGGCACTTGGCCGGAGCCCAAGAGTGAAAGTGGCCAATTTTACTTTTGGGCGGCGTAAGATTGATCTTTTTTTCTTCTTCTTCTTCCCAAAACTGATCAAAAGTTGTCTTTCATTTTCTTTGAGCAGCAATGATCTTATAAGCGACTGCAATTTACCTTTTGTGGCTCGATCACAAGAAGAAAACGTCGCTTGCTGCGGATGTTATTCGAGAGAGCTCATCTTTTTTTTGTTTTTATGTGCGCATTATTATTCCCAAAAAGTTAAAAAAACTAGAAAGACTTTACTTACGAAACGGCTCCGTGCGGTTAATGTGAATCGTACGAATGCGCGCGCCATCTCGTATAGTAATGCTAAGCCGGTTTATTTCTATTATTTTAAAAAGTCCCTCGAACCGTTGCGATATTTTAAGCCGACTTCTTTTCGAATTAACACCGAGTCTCCAACATTATAGTCACTTGGTTTTACTCTTTTTCTCAGTTCGTAAAGATGTTTTTGAGCGACCTGAGAAGACTCCAGATTCTCCGTAACGTGTTTCCAGATGTTTCTGAGGATGGAACTTAATTGCTCGCGGGGAATATACCGCTGGATCGATGTTCTGTGATGGGTAAATCCCCGGGTCCTGAGTCATTTCCGAGGGGTAATATTGGGGCAGTTATGGAAAGTGACTGGGAGGATACGCGAAATAACCCTAGGTGTCAAAAAGAGGTTTTTTGGAAATACCGCGCGCGCGAAAAGGATAGTTAGGCCGCGAGCTTCCTCTCATACTAAAATTATAAGATGGACCAGGGCGTCGCTGCCTTTTCCATTGTCCCCGAAGAACGGGGTTTCCACGACTTGATGTTTTGGGACCCGGTCTAAATGGTCGATTTCGCGCTAAGGACAAATTGAAGCTGTTCTTGCATCTTCTCAAGCTTATCGCTTACTATAAGGGAGTTGACGGCCCTCAAGGCGTCGTGCTCTTCAGCTCGCTCTTGATCTAAAATTCTGGCCTCTTTTTCTGCGTTAGACACGACTTCGTCGTAGTCCTCCTTCTTTGGTAATCGTCTAATAGCTTTCCGTATATCTGACCTAAGACCCTTGACGAAAACGTCTATAGCTAATTAGGATATGATGTGTTTATCCTGTCCTTGATACGCTATTTCAGCTTTCGCCAATACTTTTCGCGCGAATTCTCCAACGGAATCTTTCCCCTGCCTAAGGTCGTGCAACTCATCGCGTACGTTACTTAAGAGCACTTCGTTCTTACCACTTCTTCGCCAGTTTCAGCACTAAGTCTTCCCAAGGCATAGTTTTGGCATTTTCGATGGAATTATAGAGCTTCACAGAACCTGTTCAAAACATGGGCAGCAGGCTCTAGCGTCGGGGTATGGGATATCAAAACGTATCGTGTCTACGTACTTTTCCAAAAATCCTTCGAAAGTTCTATCTCCTATATCGGAGAATTTCTCGATCCTATTATTCAAAACTTTGTACGACCGATAGATGGGGTGTTCTGGATCTGCGCGCGATTTAAGTTGATCTTCTCGCTGCTGCTGGTCTTGTTGATTTTGGCGCTGGTCTTGTTGGCCTTGCTGAGCTCTAGATCCGTCTTGATTACCTTGGGCCATGTCTGCTTCAAGTAAGAGACTTAGGCTTATGTATTCTTGTTTCAACTGCTCTTCGAGTTCTCGTAGCTGTTCTTGCAGTATTCTCTTTCTGACTCTTTCTGGATTGCTGTGTGGAGAATATGGAGACTCGGTCTTCTGTGCTTTCGATTTGGACCGTGTTATGGGTGCTAGCTGGAGAAAAAAAAGGATTTTCCTTTCTTTGCACCAATTCCACCCTCAGCGTGGTCTTCTTTAAACAGTTTAAGGAAAAGAAAAAGTGAGAGGACCGCGCTGAGTTTCGTACCATCACAACAAAACTCGAAAATTATAGCAATAAAACAACTCAACTACTATCTTTCAGTGCATTCAAGAGAAAACCTTTACTCACATAAAAACTGAACACAAGCATAAATCTTTATGCAAGGACAACAAACTCAAGAGAAAAATCTTTATTCAAACATTTTCTTTCTAGCTCACCGACGGCCGATGGACATTGGTCTTTATTTTCCAGGAATAAGTTCTCAAAAATAAAAAAACATTTATTAAGACCGAAAGAGACCGAAAGAGACATTTTAATCTTAGTCATCGTCAAAAAGGACCGTCTTGCGCCAGAGAGAAAAAAAAAGAAAAAAAGAAACATCAATCATAAAAATCTTTATTAAGCCCTTCACCAAACATCAAAAATGTACAGCTTCTTCTGCTTCTTTCCTTCTCCATCATCTTCTTCCTCGATCTTTCACTAGCTTCCATTCTTCACTCGCCCCAGCGTGCGTCTTACTTGGGGAGGTGTCCATTCTTCAGTCGATCCCGGTGCGGGTCCTCTCGCCGCCACGGGTTCCCGGAGCTCCCAGGAGTCTCCGGATCCGGGGGCGGTAGAGGCCGCCGGGCTTCTTCCGATCCAAACTGGACCGAGGGATCCACCCGAAATCCACCAATCCGGAACGGCCTCGGCCTCGCGACGGCGTACCTCTCTTGCCATTGCCGCCGCCTCCGCCGCCGCTTGTTCCTCCCATTCTGTCTGCGCTTTGTGTTCGGGGCTCTGGACCATTTTAACTAACTAAACAAAAGTTTTTCTCCTATGAATGCACTGGAGGATCTACTTACTGTTATAAAGACTTGCAACTAAAGAAAAAAAAGAGGGGGGGGGAACGACGGATCATTCGGTTTTCTTTTTGGACGCCGCGTGGCGACCCTAGGAGAGGGAGGGAAGGGGGAAAGGGATATTAGAGAAAACAATAAAAATAATTACTTAATTTATCTAATTTACTTATAGCGTAACGAAAATCATCAACAAAAAAAGAAAAAAAAGGGAACAAGAATTACTTGGGCTACGCCGCTGCCCCCCGGCCGGGTCTCTCAATTCCTTTTTTTTCTTATAATGTCCCTCCTTATTATTTATTATTATTCCTACATTGTTACGTAGCCCCGAGAGAAAGGAGGGGGGGGTAAAATCTTAACAACAAAAAAAACCATGTACGCAGAGTTTTACACTACGGGGAGACAGGGGGAGGGGAAATAGACGGGGGGGGGGGGGATATAGGGCCTCCTACCTCTCCTAGGGAGCCGGAACCTCCATGTCAGCCGCGCCCCTTTTCTCAGTCCCGCATCACGCGAGTCCGTTACTAAAGGGGCCTCGGCTGAACCTTCCGGTCCGACTCCACTCAAGGAAATTCACAAAACACTTATAATTTAAATTATTTACTACTTAAAAATTACAAGACAAAATATACTACTTCAAAAACTCTGGATGAAGAGGTCCTTAAGGGGCCTCAAGAGGAACTTACAAAGAAAAGAAAATGGAAAATCTAAGGCATAGATCCGCCGTCCGATCCGCTCATAGCAAGAAGGCCAGGATATTTATACGGAGAAAAGTAATAATGAGCCTTCAGCCAAACAATACAGAAACAATGCTAGAACAATACAACATTATCTACGGAAACACGAAATTAAAATCTAATTTTGGCGATCAAGCTCGATGATGTACTTTCTGAGCACTTCGGCAGTTGCATTTGCAGAGTATCACAAAGCAAAAATCCAGTTTCCATTGCATCCATATCTGCCGCATACGTTCTGCCATTCTTCTTCCATGTATTGATGTGCTGATCTTACATTTTTAGCTAAGGTATAAGGTTGCAGTTACAGCTACATCTTCTCACAGAGTCATCGCCATGGCTCTTTGGGCAGTCCAACAATGATACCAAAATTTTTCCCTTTTTGAAAACACTGATTCTGCCATTTTGAAGAAGCGTTGGCAGCTATTATATAGAGCAATCCTTTAGCAACATTGCATTCATTTTGTATTATAGGTCAAGTTTTTGAAGTTTGAATCAGTAATTTATTTGGGAAAAAACCGGCTTTTTGAGCGCGTTGTGTCCATGGGAACTCCAGAAATTCAAAAACCTGTTCTTTGGTGCATTTATCTAACAATAAGCGACGGGTGATCTAAGCGGTAATCTTGAAGCATTCAAATCATTTTGATTTGTAAACTTAACCTTCAGAAAGAGAAAAAAAGCTGCATCAGATGCGTTTTCGAACATCTTTGGATCTCTACTGATCCAGATTTTACAGTCATTTGAAAAAATACAAATTTCTGGGGACAGCCTAGCTTCGTCTTCAAATAATATATACCAAATCTCTTCTTTTGCACTTCATTATTGTACAAAATGACTCTAGACAGATGTGGTTTTCAAGCATACTCAACAGAATTTTTTTAGAAATTTTTGCCCAAGGCTCAATTAGATTCCGACCTAAAAATTTCTTCCCTGATTTCTTAGTTACTATTTCTATCTACCTTATAAAGCACTCTTTCATTATCACTTCCCCACCCGAAATTGAGCAATTTCTTAATTAAGTATGCTATTTCCATGATTTTTCGCATTTAAAGGACTTCGATTTCCCAGGTAGCAACTCATTTATTACCACTTTTCAGGTTTAAAGTTTTTGCTGACATTTTTGGCTCTTTTCTCCTCAGTTTTTTTTTGTTTTGATTTCAATTCAGGCACACCAATTATCCAAGATAATTTCCTTCATTTTCCTCATAAGTTCGAAAGTTCGTTAACTATAGCAGATACTTTAGACATCAGTCTCCCTGCTTGATTGGATATTGATCGGCTACCAGTTATTCTTGAAAAGCCTGTCTTCTGGAATGACAGATAATGTTTCAAAATTGCTAACAATAAAGAATCTACATAAAAATTCTATATTGAACGGAACGCTTACCCTGTTTTAAAAATCTTATCCATCTATCCAGATCCTTTCTCTTTTTAGCACTGTTTTGACGAGTGTGTGGGTATGAGTACACGCTCATCATATTAAAAAACAGGACGGCAACCCAAAAAAACGCAAAAGTCACTTTCATAGCCTGGAATGTTGGATTTATGACTGACAAGGAGAAGACATTGATGCAGGTTCATGCAAAAAATTTCATTCGGCATTGTCTAGGTTGCGGGAATCTTGAGCCTTTTTATATCTGAGAACCAAAGCCCAAAATATGTATCCAAGACAAGAAGAAGTATTTTCGAACAAATGCAAAACTTTTGCGCGCGGCAGGATTCGAACCTGTGCATGCTTCGTCACAGTATACCTTACTAACCACTGCACCACGCTACATTGGGATTCTCATCGTACTTGTCACCTTCCACTCAGTTTTCGCGGGAATAATACTCATAACTTTATCTGCATCAATGCTTCGCAGGAAAGGAAAGCAAATTTGAAATCAGCGTTCTGAGATCTACACAACAGTGTATGACTAGTGGGCTGTATATGAAAGCCAAGATAAGAGTGAACCGATAAGTGTCGAACAATGCTTTGCATACTTATTTATATTTTGATGAGATTTATTATCATGTCTCCTACCAGAGCTAATTTAAATACTGTCAGATAGTGCTCAAGCAAACCTTTTCACATCGAGATTTGAGCATTGATGATGTAGAATTCAGTAGTCGAGATGTTTTCCGGCGAAGCATGGGAACCATTGCCCATAATGGAGTGCATGACACGCGAACTTTACAATTCAATTCTTCAACAATTTATCATGCGAAGCTGTTTCAATTACATTGTCAACAGCCATAAATAATTTATGTGCATATCTCACAAATTTCGTAATTTTTTTCTACTCTTTCGGATTAGGGTAAGAAATATTGAAATCCACATCTTCTTCAACACAAAAAGAACATCCAACTAGCCCAGCATTCAACAGCTACGTAATAAAATTTGGCATCAGGCACAAACGCGAATTCAGAGTGTGAGGAAATTTCTCTTAGCTCGTTCGCCTTATCTCACCCCCCCCCCCACCCACCCCCTGAATCTACTCAACTAAACTACTATATTTCGAGTCACGCACATGTTCCCCCATTCGCTTCTTTTGTTGCTTTGAACCTTAACTCTTGCACCGAAACAATTGCTAATTCAATAAAACTTATTTTTGTAAGAACCGATAACTTTGAAAGATGCTTCAAACTCATATGTAATGTGCAGAACTTCTTTCAAAAACATCTCAAATATGAAGCCATCCATTTCGGGGAGAGTTATAAAAGGAGAAAGGAACGAAAAAATTGTTGGGATGTCCTAAAATTAATCTGGCGAGATCAAGATATTTTGAGATGCATTTCCTACCAGTGATAAAAATATAATAAATGAAAAAAACGGAAAATATATAGAAAATGGAAATGACGGATGTAGTCGTGGCAGGTATCTAGAAGCATTCCAACGATTATGACTTGAAAACTAAACAATCAGAAAGAGAAAGAGAAGCTTTATCGAAAACATTTTCGAAAAGTTTTAGATCTCTACTTCCAGTTTCACAGACACTTGAAAAAACACAAGACGTTCGTAATAACCTTCGTCTTAGGACAACATGTTCCAAACTTCAATTTTGTATTTTAATTTTGTATAAAATAACGTTGAACACATATGGTTTTCAAGCATCCTCAACAGAACATTTTAGAATTTTCGCGCAAGACTTATTCCGACCTGAAGAAAATCTCTTCCTCTTCGATTTCTAAGTTACGTTTTTGTTTCTACACGTCACAAGGCATTCTTCCAATATCACTTCTCCGACCCGAAATTGAGCGGTGATCCAATCAAACTATGCTATTTCCATGATTCCTCCGCTTGTCTCGAGCTAGTTTCCATGATTTGTCAGAAAATGCTCAAGAGAAGTCTTTCACATTAAGTTTCCAGCTTTGATAATGTTGAATTTGATAGTCGCGATGTATTTCTCAACGAGCATGGGAACATTCCCCTATAATGGAGCCCATGGGAACGAGAACTTTACAATACTTCTTAAATAACGTGTCTTGCGAAACTAATTTCATTACGTTGTTAACAGTCGTAAATAAATTATGTGCATTTTCAAATTTCATAGTTTTTTCCTACAGTTTGTATCATGGTAAGGAATATTGCAATTCACATCATCTTCTTCTCCAGCATAGAAGAACTAAACTAGCCAAGCTTATAACAGCTACGTAATAAAATTTGGCATCAGGCACAAATGCAATTTCAGAGTGTGAGGAAATTTCTCGTAACTTGTCCGCTCTATCCCTTAAAAACTATTCAATTTATTACTGTTACTATCTCAGATCTAGAAGATAGGGCGAAATTTTTGGTCATTTTTTGTTTTGACTTGTTGCATGACAAGAGAGAATCATTTTACTGCAATTCTCCCGAAATTGAACTAATTAGGACTTCGAGTTCGAGTCACGCACATATTCCCCAATTCGATTATATTATTCTTAAGCTCTGCTGCTGCTCGCGATGAACGTTTACATTTATCTCAAGAACACTTTCAGATTTTTTGTAAATCAATAAATTTTCCATACATTTGACAACAAAATCTGCTAATATGTCATCCTCTCTAAACTCAATTCATTTAGTGTGAAATACTTTAAGGTTTACATGCTCAAATAAGAATAATTATTTATATTGCTACGATACAAACCATTCAAATACACTTATTGTTAGATCAAATTTTTGGACTTCGACTAGTCAAAATGCTAAAAATTTCATTTCATTTTTGGTTTTGGTATTATGACTTACTGTAACTATTAGGTTGTCAAAAAAATAATGTCGGTTTTTATTTGCTTGCTTTAAAAAAACAACCAGACTCAACCCAACAAAGGATAAGGGGTACTGTTCGATAGAGCAAAGCAAGCTCTACAAGATGGCACTCATGTCTTTGCGCCATGCTCGATCCACGGAGAGTTCGAACTCAAAATCTAAAGATTTCCAAATGCCCAAAAAATCGAAAAAAATCAGATCTTCGTCCAAATAATTTCTACGGACCTCCCACTCGCTCACATCAATACTATCGATATCTGATATCCATATGTGCGACTGCCGTATTTTTTTCCTTGACTAGAAACTGAGAAAACGAAAATTTCCGTGATTTTCTCGAAGCAATGCTGAGCCGTTTTTGCATATATAGTTCTATACTACAAGCCTAGGTAAGTATAACTGTAGATTTTCAGCCCATTCCAAGCGGTAGTTTTCGAAAAATAACGAATTCGGATTTTTTCGTTTCAGTTTCAGTGCTAAAATCGACATTTCTTGAAAGGTACCGCTCGAAATAGGCTGAAAACCTACAGTTATGCTTAGCTAGGCTTGTAGTATAGAACTGCATATGCAAAAACGGCTCAGCATTGCTTTGAGAAAATCAGGGAAATTTTCGTTTTCTCAGTTTCTAGTCAAGGAAAAAATACGGCAATCGCACATATGAATATCAGATATCGATAGTATTGATGTGAGCGAGTGGGAGGTCAGTAGAAATTATTTGGACGAAGATCTGATTTTTTTCGATTTTTTGGGCATTTGGAAATCTTTAGATTTTGAGTTCGAACTCTCCGTGGATTGAGCATGGCGCAAAGACATGAGCGCTATCTTGTAGAGCTTGCTTTGCTCTATCGAACAGTACCCCTTACCCTTTGGTGGGTTGAGTTTGGTTGCTTTGTTAAAGCAAGCAAATAAAAGCCGACATTATTTTCTTGACAACCTAATAGAACAAATTCATGCCAAACGCACTGCCTAGAGATTTTTTTTTCAAATTCCTAATCTCTGCAAAATGATAAAAAAAATAGTGAAAATCAAAAGAGTTTTCCTGGTTTTTTGTTGCAAGACTAATGTTCCAGCCCAATGGATATCTCAATCTTTGGTTTCTTAGCCCCAGTTTTTCTCTACAGGGTGCGGCAAAAGTCTGGGAGCCCAGTACTTTTTCGCACAAAAAGAGAATGGAAGTACCCTGGAAACGAGAAATTTGGCGCACATATAATTCGAACCATTGCAGATACAGCCCAGTTCTTGAGTTGCAAAACTGCTTCTTTTGGCTTCCACGCAGCCCTACAAAATGGCAAGTCCACCTGTCAGGCACGCAGGTAGTCGTAATGGAATTCGCCCCACGCCTTCACAATAACTGCTTCTTTTAAATTGCAAATGCGATAGAGCAAACTTTTGTCTACAACATACTTCCAAAAGAATTTTTTGCATTGCTTAGGAATAAAAATATTGGATTTCAATTAAAAGCATGTGTACGTCGCATACCGGAATTTTGGCTACAATTGCGCGAATAAAAACTTGAAAATATCGTTTAAAAAGTATAAAAATTGTTCCCATGGCCGAATTTCAATAGATTCCAATTTGGAAGACGTATGCAAAAAATACAGCCTTGGTTCCAGTGTCTGTTGAGCATCCTATAGCTTTTAAATTTGTTCTGAAGACGGATTTCCACTGGCACGTAGGTAACATTCGCAAACTTTTATTTTCCGTTCATGCAAGAACAGCTCCTGGCAAAAGCAAAACTAGGATACAATAGCGCAAAGCCTCTTCTATGTTGTGCATATCGAAGTTTTGTAAAATATTAACAGCATCTCTAGTTACAGCAAATATTGTAAATACCAAAAATTCTCGTTTTTTCGCTTTGCAAAAGTACTAGTTTGGTAATTCCCATTCTTACAAAAAAAATATGGCAGCCGTTTCCAGCCAAATAAAGTGTATTCTGTAGAGGATGACCGCAGCATCATGTGGCATAAAATCGAAATCAAAACCATCAGTATCTTTGTAATTGCAGTACTGCAAAGTTAGGCTCCCAGACTTTTGCCGCACTCTGTATACCTCATAAATCATTCTCTCAATGTAGGATTATAATTGCTTCGGAAACTTTCTGTTTGAATTGCACCTATCGTCTTACACTATATTTTGATTCTTTGCCTTCACTTGCATATGCTGCTATTCGATTACAATTTTTACAAAATAATTGCTGTTTTCAACGACTCGGCTTGCAGCTGCAAAATGCTGCTTTCTAAAAGCTTTTTGACCATATTTAGCCATTCACCTGAGCAAAGTTTCTCCATTGTTATCGCTTGCATAAAACCAGCACATCCCATCGGCCCTATTTTACTCGGTTAGCATCGCTCGAATCCGATTTGTGTCGACCTCGTTACTCGGGAATTTGGCTTGCTTGTCGGCTACTTTACTCGGGTGAATGGGAAATTTTCAGCTGACAAACATATCTATTCTTTCTTTCTCTTCTTGCATAAATAGTTTTTTTGATGCTCATTCTTCATTTCTACTCTAATCGTGAATTATGAAATTTTGATGCTGAGTAATAGCAGGTCTAACTAAGTAATCGCTCAAATCCTGCTAGAAAAGATAAATTCCTAAGCGAGAAAATCGTTCCAGAAGTCAAAATTGGCTAAGGTGGCTTCGCCCATCAACGTGGGTGGTCTGAGGATAACGCGTCCAAAATTAAAGCCCAATGTAGCTAAAATTGTTATTCTGACCATCTTTATGACATAGTTTCGACATTTCTGTCTACCTTGGAGCCTACTTTCAAGCTCCTTCAGGCCACCCACGTCGATGGGGCGGAGCTATCTTGGCCGCTTATACTTTGTGGAGCGATCTCGTTTCGGAAATCAACCTTTTGCAGCAAAACTTGGGCGATTACTTAGTCAGGGGCCCTGCTATCATACACCAGGAAGATCTCATCACCCTCAATTTGCCTGGACAGTGCCTCTAAGCTGTATGGTGCTTCTAAAATCTTCTTTCCTCAGCCAGCAAATATCCCACGGATTTCACTGATCCGCTAAATTCACATTTTGGACTCTCGTCAGCCAGATGACGGCTGAAGTTTAGCCAGCCATGGTGGCAACATCGCTTGGCAGCTTCTCTAGGGACGCGCGCGCGTGCTCACTTCCGTGCTTACGGCATTGTGAACGCATGATTTATTCACATATTCTCTTCAGTGGTGAGCAGAACTCGAGACCGGATTCACTCATACGTTAGTCAGTCAGGAGACACCTCCACAGTGCTATAAAAGTGTTAGAAAAGTTGCGAAAGTGAAGTCTTGCAAAAGTCTTGCAGCCTTTGTTCTATGCATATTTTTTGTGGAAATTCATGAAAGCGTGGCAACGAGCCAATTTTTTCGTGCCTGTTTCATGGGATAAGATATTTTTGTGCATTTTCATGTATAATTGCGATGCATGCATGTATCTAAGTGTGCAAGGATTTTTTTTTGAAATGTGCGCGCATTTTTGCAATCATGGCCAAGTGGGCGGAGCTTACCAGAGGGGGTGGGACCTGCCCAAGGTGAAGCCTTCCGACTAATGTAACTAAGTTGATCCATAAGCTCGAGGAATCTCTTTGAAACTTTGTGAAAAAAGTCTTATTATATTCCAGGTTGGCGCATGAGTTGTTCTGATTTTTATCTTTTATTTTGAAAATTCTAGGGTCATCCTGAAAAGATAAAAATTGCTTCATACCCAGAATGACCGATGCCGTATATCCACACAGCGAGCAAGTACCAGCGTAAGCATACCCAAGATTTTTTCTTCGAATTTTTCTTCGTCTCTTCCCGTGCTTTTTCTCGTTTATAATGCTTTTAAAATGAACCTGTAAATTCTCAGTGCAAAAATTATCGAAGGCCTTTTTTGCGTCTGTAGAGATCGACACGGAAAACCTGAAACCAATCATACAACTTTTTCAAAGAAATACTCATCTGGCCATAGAGTCAAAAATGTAAACTTTTACAGAAATCATCCTTCTATCTCTGATACTGTACATTTTTTTCCATACGCAATGAATACATAACTCTATCGTACATATTTTAAATGAAAGTGAGAAGCCAAAAATGGAATTTTGACCTTTATTCTTGGCACAATATCCTCTTTCCAACAAAAAGAAAGTATGTGATTTTCCGTTTCGTCCCTTCCCTTAGACGGATTCTGGTTTCTAGACCCTCTCCGAGATCTTCAGTAAGGAAAGAGGGTCTTGATTGATTTGGACGAAAGATTTTTGAAAAAATTTTAAAAACTCATCTTGTACATATATTAGCCTTCTTTTGTGAGACGATCTTCTGTGCGTGGGTGAGAAAAGAATGGACTAGTCTTAACATGTTTGTTTTTATCGTGTTATCATTTTAGAATATCGTTTATACATTAAGCTAAGAGCTATTCTCGAGAAAAAATTGCGATCTTCAAGACTCACGTGACGAGCATATAGCTGGGAGGAAATTTCTTAACAAACGTCATTTGTCATAATCTTTCCCCTTGTCTTCGCAATTTCCTATGCATTCAGAATAATTCATGAGAAAAATATGTTCAAAGACTTTTTTGCAGGAAAATTCTATAAGTTCTCCTTTCTCCGAAGCGCTAACATGGCTTGACATCGACCACAAGGATGTTTCTGTTGCTTCTCAGTACACTACTGTTGTATTGGTCCTCAGCAGAAGATTTAGACGACGAAAACTGGTGATTTCATTACTTTCCATGTTTAGCTACCAATATCAGAAATATTTCAGTTTGTATGGCATATGTCAAACAGCTACGGCACCAAATCTAACAATAGAACCCTTTGGAAGTGGCAGATGTACGGGCGACGACGCTATCATAGGTAAGATATTTTTTCTAGTAATGAAATTAACTGTGGAATAATTTTTTTTAAATTCAGATCATATTTTGAATGGCTACAACAATTTGGAATTACCGGGTGGTGGGCATGTACGGGTTTCCGTCGAGGTAAGAATCAGAGTCTAACTTGCAATCTGTAAGGGGGGAAGAGGGGGAGGGGATAAGGGAAGTTTTGGAAACTATATGGGCTTTAAATCTATGCAACTAAGAGTTGAGCGCTCGTAGTTGTGTATAATCAAGTTCAAAAATCACCAAAAAAATCAAGCACACGAAAAGATTCTATTTTTCTTCGAATATGAAACTCCAAAAGTTTCTCTCTTAACCTTGCAATGGAAAAAAAAACAAAAATCACTTTTCCCTTGTTTGAGGCCTTGAGTCACTTACAATCCGGAAAAGTTTTTGTCGCACAATTTTCTCTCCTCCTCCCCCCCCCCCTCCCCTCGTTACCTAAACAAAAGGCTCTCCCTTTGCCGGCGGCCCTTGCTAATTATGCTTCTTTATTTCAAGTAAAATTCCTGACGCATCTCCATCCTTATCTCCCCTCCCCCTTCCCCCTCTTCCTTCCCCTCAAAATAAGCGACTTGCGTATGATACCAATATCTTAGATCTGGGTACAAGAAGTTTCAAAAATCATAGAAATTACCTCGGAATTCGAATTGGACATTTATGTAACGGAACGTTGGACTGATCCTGCCCTGGCTTACGCCCACTTAAATCCGTGCAAAAGGTATATAATACCTATTTCTCCTTTCATTACCTCATCCTGTGAAAAAGAGTATAACTGTCTATTTCAGTAACATGTCAGTGGACGGACGCACAATACTAGAAAAGATATGGAATCCACATGCTTGCTTTGTGAACAGCAAACTGGCAAGTATCCACACAAGCCCGTTCAAGAATATCTTCCTCCAAATCTACAGCAATGGGAGTATATGGCACAACTACCGTATCAAGCTAACTGGACCATGCTCTAACACATTACGGTAGGCTAGCATGATTATTGTGGGAATTCTTTTTTGTAAATGCAGTCTCAATCAGACTTCGTTTCAGCAGATTTCTCCATATTTATCCGTTTTTTTGACCGCTCCTTTTTCGGCCGAGTTTTTCATATTCGACCTGATCAAACAGTCTGTGACAATAGTGGACAGAATAGAATTTGGAAATAGAAAGTTAATCGCCTAAGAAAAAAAATATGATTTGAATAGATCACTTAAGTCTGTCATTTCAAACTAGTACTAACACGTGACTGATCTTACAAGGCAAGGATATTTGGTCGAAGTGGGGTTTTCATATCAAATGTATAGTGTTTTATAGAGTATGAAACGCTGATTCCAAATCTGTTTTAGCTATCTGCAAAACGCTTCTGAGAGGGGAGTTGTGGGAATTTTTTGAGGTAAAGAACCAAGGGTTTGGTTAAGAAAGATGTTGAGGTCTTTCCGGCGCTTGTAAGGAGAAAAAACCGGCATGATTTCACTAGAATCGATGTAGTTATGCATGAAGCGTCCTGAAAGAAATCACAGACCAATTTGAGCTCATGGACTACATTTCTGAATGATTTTATTGTGACGGCGAGTTCCAATTTTTGCATCAAGAAATTTTCATAACTTCCTTCCCAGAAGCGCTTTGCAGATAAAGAAAGCAGATTTGAAAACATCTTTCCATGCTCTGTAAGACAACATACATTTCATATGGAAACGCCACTTCGACCAAGTATCCTTCCCTTGTTGGATCAAATCGTAATTCAAAATCTACCTTTTAAATCCACAGACTACTGTTGTGGCATTTTCCAGAACATTTCCTATCGACCAACAAAGGTGCATGTTATTCTACGAGAGTTTCACGCATAACCATGATCAGGTAATAACTTACACAATAAACTTCTGTGCCATAATGAGTTTTCCAAAGGTGGAAATGGAATGGATCGACACAGTGCCTCCTATCACGATTTTGAAAGGTAACATCACACTCCCTGATTACGTACTAGTGGATTTCTCAGCAAGCAGTGAGCTAAGAGTGAGTTCCAGTTTATTCTATTAGATTATTGTTATAAATTTTTGTATACAAAGATACCGTTTACTTATAAACTCAAATTCGAGGTTAGAAGTAATATAGACGGCAGGGTTTAACTTAATTCACTTCTGCCTTCCTTGTATGTCGAAGGAGTTGAGTAGAGCAATTAGCACAGCTTGCGTCAAGCAGGCTTACAGGATTCTGTAAGGGTTGTTTATGTCTGCTCAAAAAACCTTAAGCGATTGCCAGGGCGACCGAGCTTACGATCGTCTTTGCTTCAGCTTTGATTGTGTTAATTGCCTTTATGGAAGAGAAAGAGAATGCACCGTTACAGGAGTAGTGTATCCAATCAAGCGCCTCTCTTGAGGTAAAGAGTACCTAGGGGACGATTCCTCCTAGTTCGTATCGAAGACACATGGGCTCAGTAAATGATTCGTCTACGCCTTTGGAAGCTCAACAGAAAGACCAAGACAGCATTACGTACGAGGTGAAGGTCACAAGTCTTACGAATCCGAAGTCGAAGCACGCAAAACTCTCGAGGTGTTGTGGATATTCGCAAGATTTCCAAAATCAAACATAGAGAGTGCTTATCGGTAACGAGTGAGATCGCCTTCAATAAAGCTTATGTGAATTTGACCTACGTATATAGATGAGGTTTGCGTTGGCGGGTTGCGTTGGCGGGCCCTCAGGCCTTAAATACGCGTAGCGCTGGACTCACTATCGGATAATCTTTGACAAAAATCGTCATTCTTGAGGTGAGGAACTCACTGCGATCTGAAGTGTAGACTTTGGTTCCATTCAACCTCGGCAGATCAATTCGGCAGCGAGGTGAGGCGTTTGGAGGGATGTTTCATGAGTGGTTCGACTTTCCTGGACCTAGGTCCTTCTGACGATGGCGTGGACGTCGAAAAGTCAGCCTATTAAAATCGACACTATCTCGATCCGGGCTACAAAACAATTGGTAGTTCAGGTTCTCAATTGATGAAATTCACTTATGGACTCTGGTGTAGAGAGAAAATAGTTTAGGAACTATGACGGCGTGTTGCGCCGCTCGCAGATAAACAATCTTTACTTATGAAAACTTTTCAGCTGTATCCACCTGGGATATTCAATGAGTTGATAGCTACTTTCACTTTTCAACGCTTATACGGTTTCTATATCTTACAGGTGAAAGCTCATATGTAAAAAGAGATTGAGCTACAATGCAAACATTTAGGTCTACGTTCCTGCCTATATCTCTGTATTCATATCTTGGGTAAGTTAATCATGCGAAATCACGATTATTATTTTCGCGAAAATTCAGGTTTCTTTCTACCTCGGTGCCGAGCAGATACCTTCGCGAACGACTGTCGGCGTCAATTCACTACTTGCTTTAACGTATTGTTTCTTTGCCTGTTTAACAGCAGTGAGACATCTGCCCTGTCATGCCAACTGTAACTGTTTCAGGTTTCAGTTTGGATCCGTTGTGAACAATCTACCCAAAACAAGTGATGTAAAAGGTGGTTTTTTGAATTAATTTATTTGTTCATTACGCCTCGGGGTGCCAAAAGAAGTGAAAATAAGTTAGCTAGAGGCCAGCCTCTCAATCAGCTTGAAAGAGGTTTTTTAACAGCATTTAAGCCATGAGAATATACGACTGCTTGCTTCTAGCCAACTTTTGATTGCAAGGGATGTGGGATACGGCTCACCTGCATCGGCGAGGGGAGCCGGGGGTCCGCACCGTGAGAATAGTGAAGCGTAACGTGTGAGGTGGCTGCCTGTGTAGCCTGCCACATGGGAACTCTATGCACACGTAGAGGCCCTTGCCACCAGTTGAAATCGCTCATTTGATATCGGAAAGATCCCAAAGTTTTAAAGATAGGGCCTCCCATCCGATAAAATTGTCTGAAGATAAGTCCGCACTTATCTAACAGTCTTCGGACTAATTTGAGATTTCAGGGTAGTAATGATGGAAAGAAAAAGGACATATCTTTAGGGCGTACTTATCTGGAAAGCCTTACGTGGTGCAGATTTGGCGTAGTAGCGTAACTCAATACCTTTCATGAACATAGAGTTGGACAACTATATTTTCTTCAAGGAAGAAAGATTCCAGCGGTGCGGGGAGGATGCAAAGAAGCATTTTAGTGCTTAAAAACGCATTAATATGCTTCTTTCCATCCTTGCTTATTTTGGACGCAAAATATTAAGGCAATTAACGCCGTACTCTGGGAGGAACAGAATGTAAGCTAGTAAAGTGTAAACTCCGAATTATAACGGCTAAAGAGTGATACGGACGTTAGTTTTTACCATTTCCAGCCATCGATGTATGGATTCTCAGCTCTATGGCATTCATATTTGCTTCGCTCATTGAACTTGCTGTTGTTGGCTATCTTTCTAGAGATGGTCACCATACGACTATAAAGTAAGTGAGGGCAACATGTCACTTCACTCGTACTTGAAAAAATGGACCAGGAAGTTCACAACCTAATGACAGTGAATCCCATACTCAAGAAATTGCGATTTTTGAAAAGTTTCAGGTGCCGCTGCTCTTGGATGTGTACGAAATGTCGAGAGTGGACGGCAATGAAACTCGATACGGTAAGTCCACATGTTGCAAAATTAATACTTTTCCAATCCAGAATCCAGAATCACAAGTCGCAAATGTATCCCACAAGGCCTAAGGCACTTTGCACTGCAACGACTCTTTGTGACAGATTGTAAGCGCGCTTTGCTTGGGTCAGACTTCATGCATTTGTGACAACTTACTTACTCACCTCTGCATTTAAGACCTGCGCACGGTTGTCCTGTAGACATCTGGCAAGTTGCCAAGTCGCGTGGATGTGTAGCGGTTTGACAAAATTGCGGGAGATATGTCTTAAACCTTGGTCCGCTAACCACGCTATATTGGCATGGGTGGTGGCCATGCACACCTAAAGAGAACGAAGCTGTTGCAAGCGCTACAATAGAGGACGTCGCTATGCTGAACCATGCTGCCGGTAAAATACGAATTACAAGGAAGGTTGCTCCAATCGTTAAAAGCGAGAGAAACTAAATTTAGTGTCATTTTTTGTTGAGCCAGTGTTCTCGAGCTGGGGCTTCTCGAAAAACTCACAACCTTTGTTCATTTGTCCATGTGGTGTCATAATATTTACTCAGTACAAGCACAGTAGTAGTAGTAGTAATAGTAGTATTCACTCAGAACAAAAATCTCAGCTAGTACGGCAATGTTCTGGTACCATCATGCTTGAGTATCAGAGTTTGGGAACATCCATAAGATAAGTAGAAAAAGAAAGAATACAGTTCTACAGAGCAGCAAAATAAGACCCTTCGCTTTTGAGTTTCCTCACCTTCCCAGTACGATATACATGCATATGGGCCTCAATATATTGTAAAGCAAAATAGCCTAAATTCAATAAAAGCATGTTCCGCAGATGCGCGTGGTATGCGTGTTCTTTCGCTGGTCGAGCATTCCGAATTTCATTATTCGATGAGGGAGGGAGGAATTCACAATCATCAATGTTACATCACTCTAGGCCACTGTACGCACATGCATGTATGTATGTTTCAGGCATCATCGGTGATATTCCCTACTTGTTTCTTTTTCTTTAATATCTGGTACTGGTTTGTGTTTCTCGGGTGAGTCAAATTTCCATCATTATCACTTTTATGTGTGAGAGTGTTCCCGCACCAAAGATACATGCCGTGCTCTATAGATGTTTGCTTACAACGAAGGACATCAGAATGATTGTGCTGCTCCTCCCCTACAAAAGAATGCGGAAGCTTAATTTATTTGTGTACCGAAATATCTTATTTCTTGGTGGGAATGATAGGCTAAGCTAGTATATGCACATGCAGTGTGGCATGAATATGGTGTTGTGTGTTGTGTTGGCGTTATTAGGCCCTTTATCTCGGATCAAGATACCGGGCTGATACCGTGTATTTGTGTAAATTATGATTACTGTTACAGCATGGGCATGAAATAATGATGTAAACACCACCATTCACTTCTTGTATTGTGTGCTCTATACTCTTGCTCATGATCACTTCTTCCTGGCACACTGTCGCACAGAGCACTTGCAAAAACAGGTTTTATAACTTATACTTCTTTCAGAATGCTTTCTTCTGATTTCCCGCAAGCTTAAGGCATGGCAAATCGTACAAGAGCTATGCCAGTGTTTATCGTGCATGGCTTGACAGTGTTGGGTTGTGCAGTATGTTATTCGTTGTAATAGAATTTCTAAAAAATTTCCGGGAGGAGTTGCGATAGAAGTTTCCGTCATAAAGTATTTTCAAGAAATTATAACAAAGCACGATTTGTGTAAGATGATAATGAAAAACCAATGTTAGAGGGAAGCTCAGCTGAGTGAAATGAAATAGAGTCTGAGTTTTGAGCCTTTCACGGTATGTATCCAATGGGGCTCAAAGCATGCGGGGACCCATCAAGACACCCGAACTTCTTCAATGTAGGCACGGGTACCACTTGATTTTGTGGCGGTAGTAAACATTAATCGAATTCAATGTTAACTGCATTTGTCATTTATTGAAAATTTAAGGTCGTTTGCATGCTTTCTCGTACCTTTACTATAACTCCTTTTGTTCGGTCAACCTATAATTTCATACATTCCAAGTAAATTTTCATTTTTTTCGCTTAATCTGTCATTTTATACATTCCAAGTACATTTCGATTTCTGTCCTCAGTGTCCGTAACTTTCTAATCTTTTGGCAGAGACTGCTTTCCAGGAATCTGCTTGCTGCACCGGGGATGCGACCAAGGAGCTGATTTCACACTGTCTGTGGTTGTCTTTGATTCAACAGTCGCTTTCCATTCTTCCTTGGTTTGCTTTTGTGCCTTATTTGCGCTCAACATGTCGAATTATTGGGTCGTTTTATAAGCTTGTGGAGTTTTTATTTTGGTAACTATTTTTTTTGATGAAGCGGTTGGTTTACGGCAAAATACCTGTATTATCCAAAAGAGCTAATCTTGCTCTACAAGAATTGTTGTTAGTGCAAACGATCAGATCAAACAATTTCCTTCTATAGATCCCCTTGATCTACGATTTCTCAAAGCAAAGTTGAGAGGCAAAAATTGTTAATTTCGACAACTCTACTTTCCGTATTTTTTTCCATATTCTGCAAAATGTCATCCGCATATGTAGGCGGAAGGTTAGCAGCAAGCAAGATTGGTATATTGACAAATTTTAGCGTGCCAACATGCTAAGAACTGTATAAACAACGTCTCAGTAGTTGCTGTCTCTGTCTGCTACTGCTTGAGATTTGCGCGCTTAGCGCAGAATGTGTCCTCTTATCGGGCCTTGAGGAATGGAAGGGTTTTAAGTGGTGTAGATGTATGAGTGCAAGCTCTGGCTAACATTACGCTTTCACAAAAGTTCCTGGAGTAGGAAATCGTCTAGACTGCACCAAACGCTGAACATCTACACACATGATAGAAGTGCGCTTTTTATCCTTTTCCATAGTGTCTCTTCAAATAAGTGGACTACTTTTATATGCACCATAATCCCGTAAACAGTTGTTTTTCATCACTTATAACAATTCGCTCATGATCTTCGTATATGAATCGAAATTTGCAAGTGCCGAAATCTCCACTTAGCTTTGAGAAGTCGCCCAAGAAGATTTAGATTTATTCAATAAATGAACACTCCTTGTAGAGAAGATTAGCTCTTTTGAAAAGTGCAGGTAATTTGCCGTAAACTAACCGCTTCATCAAAAATGGCTGCCAAAGTATAAACTCTACAAACTTATGAAACGATCTAATAATATTGCTATTTGGCAAGGTGCTGCAGCGAAAAGTCCTTGTGTTTATAAGAATTTGCGTTTACGCTCTACTGTGCAGCAGATGAGGATTACAGTCTGCGGCACTACTCCTTCTGGCGCTATTCACTTCAGCATCCTCAAACTGAGTATGAAATTTTTATGCCACTTATGCCCAGCTAGCGTGACACAACAGCCCCGATGATATGTTACCTTTATTTTTTTTGCAGTGCGGAAAGAAAAATTGACGTTTGCTGCACTCACATTATTTGATACAATCGTTTTTAGAAAAGTCACAAGAACTGCTACATGGTGATATCTCTTCCATCCAGGTGCCTTGTGATCCGATGAGTGATTTTAGGTCTTGCTTAATGGGTGTTTATTTGATGTTATTCTTTTGTTATCAATTACGCAGCGTATAAAGAATCAAACTGTGTACTAAGAACTCGTTTTTGTCATAGTCTCAACCTGCGCCGGCATTCTTGGAGAAGTCTAGAAAATGTGCAATACGAGAATAAGTTATGAAGAAGATTTGAGTTTGCAACTAACTGGAGACATTTGTTGAAAATCAGTTATGTTGGCCCACAGCTTTCCGTAACAAAGGGGCGCTTGGTGTGCAAATTTATTTTAGGAACACTATTTCCTGTTATACGTATTGTTGGGCATGGGGGCATGGCTTCACAACAGTTAAGCGAGGCGACAGGCCTATAACGGAAAAATTTGTTAGTGAGAACTATACCTCTTTAGGAAAAATTACCGCCTATCCTTTCTGGAAGAAAAGCTATAGAGAGTGAAGATGCTAGAAAGATCTCCGGCATCTTCAAATTTCCTTGAGAGAGAAAGGAAATTAGATGTCAGTATGCATTGATATTATTATTATTTTATCAATAGTTATTACAACACGAAACCATAAATTTGATGTAAGATTCAAGAAGTTGATAAGTTTTATTTGATTAGGCAGAAGCCTTCGTTTATCTAGTAGAATATACTCTGCTTAGTTACTAAAACCATTGAAGAAATAGTAAAACACGGATTGGCCGCATAGCCCCATCTCAGGGATTCGCGTCGTGCGAGCGGTCCTCCTATAAGGGCTAGTCTACCAGCGGTTGACATCAGCATAGAGCTTCCGTGCGTGCGGCAATCAGTTGAAGCGCCATTCAAGCGGTAGACAATGTTGCCGTGCAAGAGGCCAACAATAACCTTCATCTTCTTCTCACAATTTTCATACATTGTGAGCGTAAACGGTACCTGCGTGAGATACGACGCAGCGTTCATGCTGTCCTAAGCGTTGACATGTCGTATCATCAATATTTTCCTTTACCAGCAAGGCTGGAATGAGCATTTGTGAGGTTAGAGTTATCTAAATGATTGTGGACTTTCCATGAAAGGTTTGGGAAATGCTGCAGGAATTGATTCACATTACCAGAATGTGAGCAGGATCAACATATCCAAGATAAATGGTCAAGGTATCCCGTACAATTACGTTAACAATAAGCAAGCGGTCGACTTTCCCCGCGCAAGCGGGGAGGATAAGACCGTGCGGGCGTCTCACGTTAACCGTCACACCAACGAGTCATCTCAGGTACTCACGCCGTGAGGTCGCCGTTGGCCGCCCGCACGGCGTGAGTACCTGAGATGCTACCGATGGCTTCTTGACTCAATCCAGGTAACTCTCCAAGCCTCAACAAATAAGATTCTTCGCCATACGCAAGACCCTAAGGCAGGGTACGACCTTCGCCTCCCAGTAATTTTGGTTCATTTAAAAATCCAAAAAGGTCGATTTCATTCTTGTGCGTCCAGGCGCTTAACTCTCAAATTCCAATGTGCAAGTGCTTCGACCACTTGTTCAACAAAAAAAACCACAGTTGTCGTGGTGCCTTGAGCTCCCGCACACCGAGTGAGATCGTAGCAAAAGTAATCAGTAAGGACAAATGAGTGAGGCGCCGTCGCTATAAGAGCCATTTTGCTGACAGCGCGCAAGGAGGAGAGGTCCGGAGACGAGTGCGGCAATGCGCATTAGCTACCGTAATCGCCGGATAACGCGTAACAATCGGTGCTCCCGACCCTGAGGAGCGGATGCATTGCTATCGGCATCTTAGGCAGGCGCTATACTCCTCGAGGAGCATAGCATGGCGACGGGCGATCGCCAGTCGCCAATACTGGCGACTGTATCTTCTATGCGTATCGATCGCTAACAAGTTACCACAAGTCTAATCGATACACATTCAATGTGTAGTCGCCAATACTGGCGACTGGCGATCGCCAATACTGGCGACAAAAATCGCCAGTCGCTACGACTGGCGATCGCCAATATCGGCGACAAAAATCGCCAGTTTTCACGTATTTTAAGCATATCAATCGTCGCCATGCTATACTCCTCGAGGAGTATAGCGCCTGCCTTAGCATTGCCTGGTTTAGCAGTTCATCCGGTTGATGGCCGAAAGGAGTTGCAGCCATACTGCACACGTTGTAGCCAGTGAGGAACCCATTCAAATCATACTTGCTCTTCCTGTCATCTACGATAACATAAAATCGTCTGCATAAAAAGTTATTATATGATTTAAGCGATTGATTGTAAGTTCCAGAGGATTTGGCTGCCCAAAAATAGAGGTGAACCTAAACGGACAATCTGTAGGTTAAAAGTTAGAAGACTGGAAAAGGAGAAGAAGCGGTATGGAAATTGAACTAAGTGGAAATGCAACCAGATTGGTGAAGCAAGCAAAATCACTGAGATGACTGCAGAATATAATAGACTCAATACTACTAGAGAATGGTCAAGGAGAAAGATATCCCTTTTTTGGAGATATGGAAGGCCGCATAAAAAATTTAAAAAAGAAGAGCGAAGAGACACAGGTACACTGATTGAAGCTCGGCAAGATGCCCAGACTATAGTTCTGCGAACACGGCACAAGGCCAAGAGAGACGGCTTGACAACCAAAGCTGCGTCTGCTTTGAAACTTGCATTGTCATTTTCTGCAATTGACTTGAGAATACATGGGTACGCTTCAAACATGATAACTGAATGATTTGAATGATAAAGCTTTGTATAAATTTATTTACACTGAATGGGTGATATCATTTTGCATAATTGCATCTCGGTGTCCAGTAGACAACCATGACGTCTTTCTCACCGCTTCGCCTATGTGAGCACGACAGCGAACACATTATGGATCATTACACAGAAGTTGGTGAGTTTGTCTCTCACCTATAGAACGTTCAGAAAAGTTGAATGTGAAATTTTCTCAACTTGAAAGCTGGGAAGGGAAAAAACTTACATCAGTCACTGTGACCGTGGCTAGCAAGCGACGTGACTTGGAGACATTGTCCGGGCAAAAGTCGATTTTGAGATTTTTTGCTTCCCCGGGCCTATTTGCTATGATGAATCCGAAGATTTACACTGGAGAGCGCGGAAACGGCGAAACGGGGCTCTAGCACAGGAGACAAAACGTAGGTGGGCAGGGTCCTCCACTGTGAACTCATGCTCCCCGCTTTTGAAGCAATCTTCTCAGTTCCGATTTCAAGCCAACCTTTCGCACTTAGCCAGTAGCGATGTCAAGGCGGCTAACGGAATCAAGAAGATCGTTCCGGAATGGGAGCGTAATTTCATAGAGAAGATCCCTCCCAGCTACTGATTCTCCTCCAGAGTTAGAGCCCATTTTCGCCATTTTCGCGTTCTTCAGTGTGAATTTTCGGAAAGTTTGCAAGAACTTCTCATACGTTTGTTCTAGAAGATCGAATCGATGCCGACGGAATAATGGAAGATGAGGCCCTAGAACAGAAAGTAGCTAAATTGGTATTGTGTCTTTGTTTCGCTCTTCTCCTTGTTTCAAATGCAGTGATAACAGTGCGCTGATGCTGACATTACTGGAGAAGAAGATGGAAGCCAATTGCCGGAAGAAAAATTGCTTATAGAAACGTATCAATTTTCTTTCAATATTCGAACTCAGCACAACCTACTTTTCAGCTGTAAATCTTTTTCCTCTACTGGTACTCTGAGTTCCAACGTTATAAATGACATCAAAGCAGGTGAAAGTTTTGAGAAGTGTGGACCAACTCTTTTCCAACAAGTGCTAATTCAAAATGAAGAGTTGGCTTGTGGAGCAAACGATAGTACGGAGTCCTCTTCGGCCTCAAATTCGAAATCTTCAGTTGAAAATGCAATGGACGGCGATATGCAAAGCATTGTAGTGACACCAGCCTCTTCAATCTTGTACCCTACCGCAGTCACTGTAAGCTTCAGCAGCTTTAATTCGGGTGATTCACAGTCGGAAGAACTGTTATCGTCACTGTACACAGCAAGCGATGGAAGGTGGTCACAGACAAGCGATTCCAGGAGCGACAGCTTACTCTCATTCTCAACAGGAGTTGGGCTTTCTGACAGCGATAGCGAAGCATGTAATCTTGCGATAAATAGCTGCAGCTCATCAACGAGTATGAACACCGCTGTAGACAGTAGAGCCATCAGTGTGGCAGAGGATGAATCCGAGGCGATATCAATAGCCGGAGAATCAAATATGTCATACGTTCACTCCTCGGAAGAAAGCCTGTGGACTGCCAAGTCGTTGTCATGTACTTTGTTGAGTAAACAATCTTCAAAGACTGCAAGACCCCCACTCCTGGAAGTAGACGACTTGCACACTGCCGTGTAGGTTGCTGTCTCTTGCTCTAGTTGCGTCAGTCAGCTCTATTCATATAAATCACATTACCTTAGAGAAGCACCATTTGTACTGCACACCGCATGGGAAAGGACAGCTGATACTCATACTTTACCATTTATGTAAGTCTTCATAGCATGCCATATGTACGTTTGGTATGTTCAATTCTAGGACGGAGAACTGTTTGGCCAGTGAGGAACACTCTGATAGTTTCGCTTCTGCGCAAAGGTATGCCTTATTGAACGAAGTTTTCTAAACGGCTATTGTTTTCAGCTCATCGGGCTGTGGACCTCTGTACTGTTCGTTTATCGAAGAACAAGAGGAACTGCATGAGATTAAGTGATTTCCTCGTAAATCTAAAGCTTCTGTCTCGGAAATTATTTCAGATCACTGCCAAATCTCGGATCATCTCGCGGATAGATGGAATCTGTTTTGAACCCATTATGCATGTACTCTTGCTTTTACAATCTTTCTGAAAAATAAAGGTTTTGTTAGTATTTACCCTTAAAGAGAGCAAAGAAATTAGAAATTCTGGCTAATCTATCTTCCCTTCAACCTCTCTCGGCACATCAAAAAGGTCGTAGTCCAGTATGACGTCATTGCAGGGGAGCATTCTACATTCACAAGTACGTAAAGACTAACTTTCACGTTCATCTTCACAACCTTAGAGAGCAGGCGTATGAGTGGTCTTCAATCACCTAAAGCGGTTAGATTAAACACGGAAAAGAATTTTAAGCGCTCCAAAAGACACACAAATAATAATAATACGTTAAAACGTCAATACACAAAAAATCTTTGTCAGATTTTTCCAGACGTGAAAGCAAGGCACAATAAAGCTTCCTTAAACGTGAAAACTGTCAGCACTTTAAACGAAGGCTTCCGCAATCAAATGCCTCGTCCGATTTATACATTTCCAGTCGGAACTACTGTCCAAGATCACTTGACTTGAGTTGCAATAAAAGCTCTTTGGTCGCCTATAACATTGCAATAAAAGCTGTCTTGGTCACCTATAACTCATGGTGACAACAACTCATCTCCAACTCCATTTGAGTTGGAGATCCTCAAGCAGCTATGGGCTATCCAAATTCATGAGATGATAGGATGGCTGGCGATCGTTTAAGGAAGATAGCTGTTCATTCTTAAGCTCCCACCAGAGCGCCGAAGCCACGCCAGCGCTGCATCGGCGCCGAGCTATCCCGGCGCTGTTTCGATTGATACACGTGCATTTCGTTTTGGGCGGGGCTTGCTGACCTAGTTCTCAGCTGATAGGTGCACCGACTGTTGATCGAAATTTGTCAAAAGCTCCGATAGCGCTTTGCCGCCACAGGGTCAGCTAGCCCCGCCCTGAACGAAATGCACGCGTATCCATCGAAACAGCGCCGGGACAGCACGGCGCTAGCTCGGCGCTGGCTGCCGTGACTTCGGCACTCTGGCGGAAGCCTCAAGGATTGGTCGTACCTCGTCGTCGCGCAATGTCTAATTGCTACGATTGTTCATAACCTTCGCAGGCGCATACTCTATAAACAAGATTGGCGTGTACACATAAGATTACAAAGGCTATGCACCTGCGCTCTTGCATTCCACACGAGGTAGATTTGCGGCAAATTGTCGGATCGCGTATCGCCGCGATTTTGAATCACGCAAGGTATACTCGAGGCCTTAGGCCCCGGGCAGACTTCACGCGATTTGATCATCGCGACTGAATCGCGACGAGACAACTGTTACAACATCATTCTATGCCGATCAACTTGCATTCGGTTGTGATACTTTTCCAGCACGGAATTTTTGAATGTGAAATGAAAATGAATGGAAATCTTGGCGATTAGATCGCGACGATCAAATCGCGTGAAGTCTGTCCGGGGCCTTACGCGACATCGGAATACAAGTCAGAGCGTATGCACCCCCTCTCGCACAAACGTCATCCTTGGCCATTAGTCACTGTTTATTTCAAAATCTTCTTCAACATGGTCCTCCTTTCTATGTCACCTCAGTTGGCTCACGATGTTTTTGCTTCTTTTGCCGCTCACATGTTAAAATGGCCGGTCTCACGGTAAGTGCCTTGGTATGTTCAACACTTTAACTGGTAAACCACACCACTTTTTAAGCAATTCCATGATGCTGTCTTGTGGTAGAGTAAACTCGCTAGATCGAACCTATTTCTTATATGCGAATGCTATAACCACGCTATGTCGCTCAGATGCACTAGTATTAGTAACTAGTGCATTAGTAACTTTGTCATATGACTGTGAGCATTAAGAGACACGTGTTCGATTGTACTTCTTGCGTTCATGTATGTTCGCCTTGACTTTGTGGGCTGCAGCGGGCATCCGTTTTAAAAGGTTATGGCACCATCCAATTCCAAATATTCAAGTCTTCACTTTTGTTGCTGCATACGTTGCTTGCTATCTTAAACATGTTATGCTTAACCACATATTTTACGCCAATTGGAGGACCGACTTGTCTCCGTCCCGAACTGAATTTGGAGGTTCAATCATAATTTTTTGGTAATGCATTAAATTTTGCCTTTACATATCTTAATACCACCTTCTTTGTGTGACATGGCAGTATATGTATAAGAAGTGTTTTTTCAAGATTCCATAAATGGTTTTTTCCACTTCTCTTTTCAAAAATCCAGGATGTGTTCTGACAATGAGTCAGTTCCCATCAATTTCTTCCAGCATCATTGAGGCTGTATAAGAGAACTAGATTACGGCAAAGACATTCGCTCTTTTAGAAGAAGAAGAACGACCTACTCAGCAAATGCAAATCAAAATTTTAGCAGAGTTCAGATTAAGCATCACAGAAGGCTAACTTGCTAGCATTATCAGCCTGCGGCAGAGGAAGTTTAGGGAACGAAACGAAGAGCATGAAAAAACTTTTGTATTTATTCGCGATCAAAAATATGCTACACTGATTGTTACAATAATCCGCTTGTCATTTGATCTTATTACGAAGCTGCTTCTCCACCTGAGGCCTAAAAATTGCCTTACATTGTGAGAACTGTTTTTCTTGCCTGCCTTTGCTCCAGTTTTAGAGTTTTAAACTCCATAAGAACAACGTAAACTTTGGTCAACCAACCTTGATAGTGGCTTGCCTGGCTAGCTTTTTGAGGCCCTGCAGTTACACCATTATTAGGAGCGATGATTGCTGGACTAAACCAACCCTGATCCTTGTGATCATGTCGTGACTCAGTGGCTGCTCAGTTTGGATACACTCAGAAATATCGAAGAGTAGTCGCTCAGCAATTCCAGTGATTACTGACCATTCCCGATCGCCGGTCTCATCTGCTCGGCGGGCAAAATATGTCACTAGGTTCTAAAAATCACGTTTTCTTCAATGAAGTAGCCACCAATAATGAACCTCCAGGGTTTCGCGGAGCTTTTTGCGATCTGCAAGTTGGGCCGCTTTCTTCGTTTCGCCTGTAACATCGCTTGTTCTATAGGACGAACCAGATCTTTCGTCCTGAAAAGGGCTAGTTTGGTAAAAGTATCGTCATCTACGGTAAGTCGAGGAACCCCATATTGGCCACTTCTGCCGCTTTCACCACCGGATGAACGAGTGGAACTGTAACATCGCGAATAAGTCCTGCTGCGACGAGTGTCCTCATAGTCAGCATCATCCGCCCTTTCTTGCAAGTAACGAGCGGCGTCCATCAGAATATGTGCTTGCTGAAAATTGCATTTTTCAAGCGCACATACATAAAGACTGCATCTCACGTCAAGTCTGGTCCCTGACTTCTGGTACGTAACCAAACGCAGTTCTGTTCTTTCTACTCCAGGCTCTGGATGATTTCGTTTTATCACCAAACATCTAAACCACTTGCTCTTAACTCGTTCAGTACGAACAGACAAGAAACTTTCTCAACCTCCTGGGGATCTCTTTTTCTCTGTTTATTTCTCTGTAACTCTCTCGATTGACGTCACTGTAAGGACCTGAAATTGAAATACAGTTTCGAGTCTGCGTCGCCTTCACATGAACTTACCAGTCGTTCTTCTTGGCGATCTGTTGAATGATCGTCCTCCCGCTGAACGTCCGAGATGCATAACCGCACAGATTTGAAATGAAGACGTAGGTGAACTCAACTTCAGAGACTTGCATTGTTGATGATATTTTCTCCATAGCATGATGATGATAATGATAAAAGCGTTAGCTGAAGGGTGCGGTTAGAAACCTGAGCAATTAGCTCGACTTGGGGAGTGCCTGCAAGATACAGCCATGCTGCTTCCGGTTGCTTATCAGAACATGACGACAATTCCCCCCCCCCCCCCAGCCCTCCCCCTCCCCAAAGAGCCTGTTTTGGAACATGGCCAAGGAATACTGAAAATCCTAACACATGCCATTGAAACTGCCTCTTTTAAGCAGAGGATAACTGGTCGTAGCTTTTTGAAATGAAACGTACACCTTTAACTGCATCCTGAAGTGCTGATTCCAAATCTGGCTTTGTTATCTGCTGTGCGCTCTTCTGAAAGAAGTTATGAATTACCTTATGAATGATAGTGTCTTCTTTGTGAGCCGTACCCGAGATTGTTAAATACTTTATTAGGCTAACGTTTCGGCAAATCGCCTTCTTCAGAGCTAGAAATGGGTAATACGATCTGCAATCCATTCGACAACGTCTCTGCAGCAGAGTGAGTAAAGTGCCAAGACTTAGGTTCGATCACTAGCTCAGGTGATAGCATTTAGCCGAACATTCACCTTTTGGGTTACGCCGAAGAGTTTTTTGACGCGAGAGCAGCTATCAATGACCCTTGAGGGACCACTATTTATAGTGAAAAATTAGGTCAGAAGAGCTGACCTAGATAAGAGGCGAGTTCACACGTGATCGCCAGGCATTCCCCTTTGCGATTCATTTTTGGATTTTTCGCGTGAATCCAGAAAGCTTCTAAAAACTTTCGCGCTGATGTCTGAGATTCGTGTACCAAGATTTCTACCGAAACTCCGAAATTCGTCACCGTATGTTTTTGTATTCGGTGAGTGCCCAGAGGAGTCGATGTGCGCTATTCAGCTTTATCTCTTATGTGCTCTTTGATGCGAACGCATAGCGGGCGTGCCGTTTCGCCTATGTATTCCTCGCCGCACTCCTCGCATTTTGACAATTACTTGATAGTTTGAATAAAATTATCCTTTGTTTCTCTAATACGAATGCTAAAATTCGGAGGACCCAGAAAGCATTTTCAATGTACAAAGTCAAGTGTAAATAGATAAGGAGAAGAAAAAGATACGGCTTTGATTGTTTGAGGAAGGAATCAAGTATCACTAGCAAAATCACTGTTCACAACCAAATTAAACAGCATCAAGTTTCAAATTTCTAATTGCTATGGAAATTTCGAGCAATGGAAGATAATTAGAATCATAGATGCTTCAGAATGCAAAAACTCTTTTTCCATTTGGGAATAATCTGCAAATATTTTAGGAAAATTTTCAAAATCAAGTGTAAATGGAAAAAAGTGAACTTTGGCTCGGAAGAGAATTGAACTCAGAATTCACACTGAACCGATATGCTGATCAGATCGTCCGTCAACGATGAAGATTTTGATGTGCGAACCAACATCTGACTAATATATACCCTAATTTCCTGGGTATAAGGCGCACCTTGTATAAGGCGCACCCGCCGCAGCGAACAGTGGCGCGAAGACGTTTTCTAAATGATTGTTCTCTAAATGTGAAAAGCTGAAAAGAAAAAAAAAACAGTGTGCTGTGGTTATTCTTCACTGCCCATAAATCATGCCTCCAGTTATTTTTTTCCTCTACTTCTTCGTTTCCAGTAATGCTGCTGGTACTGAAACTGTGCTATCCTCTACAATGATACTGCTGACATTTTGAAGGTTTTTGTTCAATTCTTGTCATTTTTGAAGAATCAAAGAGAAGGTAGAGATTTTTTTCTTGGAACAAACCACTACTGAGAGGAAAACAGCAAAGAACGGGAGCAAAAAGCTACTACTGAGTGAAAGAGGTTGCTGTTGGCTGCTTGTGCGGCGCCGTGCATCGCGAACGTCGTCGTACATCAGTCCGCGCGCGGTGAAAGCTACTGCGCCTTATACCCCGGAAATTAGGGTAATACTTCAAGCAATAACCATAAATCCCTATGGCAAGAAAAGATCCATTGTTTTTGAAGAGTCGTTTATTGAATGATTTTCTAGTATTTTGTCCGATGTCCAGCACTTAAATACACAACTATTTTAATGAGTCTTGAACTGTCATTTCTTGAATAACTTTCCAGTGTTTTTCCGATTTCAGCACTCAGATAAGGACTAATTTGGAAGAGCACCCAAGTTAGACTTCGGGCAGAATAATTTTTTATTCAGACTACAAACTATTTGTTGATTACGGTACGGTTTTTCTTTTTTATTTAAGCCCAATTTAAGCTTGGTATGGTCATTTTGAAAATTTTCGGCTAACGAAGGATGTCACTCAACTTGGTATTGCATTTCAAGATGAGACACATATATTTTGAATCAGCTTCGAACGCTGATTCCAAATACGCTGTTTCTAGCTGCGGCGCATTACTCTGAAGGGAGTTATTAACTTTTTTACATAATTTGCATACTCTTTGACCTACTGGCATTACAGTATCATCACCTAAGTGCTAATTGACTGCATAAAATATCTTGTCAATTACAAAAGAATTAGTCTGATATAATTTTAGTACCCAGCACCTTTTTAGGCAGATTTCCATCCAAGGCAGCTTACCATATGGAAAAGTATGGCAATTTCGCAGAAAAAAACCCCCATAACTTTCTTCAGAATAACGCACCGCAGCTAGGAACAGCATATTTGGAATCAGCGTTCGAAGCTCGCGGTACTAAGTTAAGTGACATCCCTTGAAAGTGCCAGTCTTAGTAAACCGAAGTCCCATTAAGATTTTCCGTATTTCTTGGCCATGTTCCAAAACAAGCCCTCTGATAGGTGCGGCTTGAACTGTGCTCATGTTCTGGAGCAATCGGAGACAGTGAACATAAATGTATCCAGCAAGTACTCCCCGAGTCGGGCTAATTAGCCTCGGGTTCCTAAGTTTCGCCCCCCCCCCCCCCCGTTAGCTGAATGATAGCCTACCATTTTTCCTAAGGATGATTCAAAATTGATTGCACATGTCTCAAACAAAATTCTATCAAATTTTTACATGAGCTACGCCGTAATTTGATTCTTTACTACAATAAGTCATATCATACATTTTTGTTCTTAATCAGTTATCACGGTATTATTCGATAGAAAAAGCAAGCTATACAAGATGAGGTGTGAGGCTTTGGCCATACTTCACGCGATTTTAATTGCGACGCTACTTGACAGCACTCCAATCCATAACATCATGTGCGCATTCTCGATGTGGAAAGTAGGACATATTATCGTCCTACGAAAGTTGTACAGATTATACATTTGAAGTTTTGAAGACACTGCCAAAGTGTCAGATCGCATGGCGACGACTGAACTCGCATGAAGTATGGCCAGAGTCTTAAAGTTCGCATCAGCTGAGATTAACCTCAGGTTTGAAGCCAAAATCTAAGTAGTTCTCAACGCTAGAAAAGTAGAAGAATATTTATATCATACCAAAGAATTTCTACGGATTTTCACTCGATCAAGCTACATTCCACATCAGACAATCATAAATACCGCTGCTGAATTTCCTCTGCTAATACAAAACGAAGTTTTCATACTTTCGTTGAAGCACTGCCGTGCTGTTCCCACACATGTGATTATTACAAGTTTTTAGAAGTGCAAATGTAAAGTTTCAGTGCTTCACAGCCTCTAGTTTTCGAGTAATTTTAACCTGCAGCATGTGAGCATTTAGGTCAGGCGTATATATGTAGAACAGTTTTACGAAAACTCACTATCTTCTTATATATAAAGCTGAATGTCTATTTGTCTGTATGTCTGTCTGTCTGTACGTATGTTCCGAATAGAAAATTCCATTTCTGAACCGATCCGGACCAAACTTGGCACACGTACACTTCGGGCCCCGGCGGGTGTCATAGACTACTTTTCGTCATCGATCGATATCGATTTTATCGATTTTTATCGATTTTTCTGCAGAGTTCACCTACGGGGCTGGGAGTTGGCAAAGGGGGGTAATCGAGCATGGGGGTTCCGAATACAGTATTAGTTTTCAGGATTATCAGTTACTTTTATCGATTTTATCAATTTTTTGCAAAGTTTGAGCTACGGGGCTGCGAGTTTGCACAGTGAGGTAATCGAACATACTGATTACGATTACAATATTAGCTTTTGAAATCGTCCATTGTTTTTATCGATTTTATCGATTTTTTGCAAAGTTTGAGCTACGGGGCTGGGATTTGGCACAGGGGGGTAATCAAGCATGCTGATTACGAGTTCGATATTAGTTTGGCGCTATTCGGCTATCTGGGCTCCAAAATTTTTTTGCGGTAGAGCTTGCTCAGACTTCGTGTATAAGGGTTATCTTAAGGGCCGGGCATACTTCAAGCAATGCCAGATCGCGACGCGATTTGGCAATATTCCAGGTGTCCGTAACTCATTGTAAGCACATTATAAATGTACAGAAGATAGGGCATTTCATCAGTCTACGTAAGTTATACACACTATGCAGTGCAGTTTGCTAGTGTTGGATCCGAAGACTTCTGGCGAATTGCCAAACGTCGCGACTGAAATCGCGTGAAGTATGCCCGGCCCTTTACATGCTGATTACAGATATCACACTTTCTCCGCAGGGTGTATGGTAGGGAGTCAAAATCATGAATTCGGCTGGAGTTCGGTCCAGACAACTTATTCGGCATGCTGATTACGAATTTCATACTCTCTCTGCATATTGGGACCTTTCCATAAAGTTATGGTGGTTATACGGTATGGGGCAGAAACATAGGTTTGCTTTAAACTTCGTCTAGGGTGGTCATTTGGCGCGCTGAACATGAATATTATGCTGATTTCGCAGGATAGCGCCATTTTCTTGGGTTACGGTGGGTGTACAGTAGATGGGTCGAGGTTCCATATTTGCTCAAAACCTTACCTGTAACGGTTTAGAGGTGTACTCTTATGTATATGATGCTTGCTTGCTGTCATAAGGGATTATTGTGAAGTTATGGTGAGTTGCAGTGT